GTGAGGGGATGGGGGATGTGCTCTCCCGGAGATCGCAGGGGTGAGGGGATGAAGGGGGACGAGCCCTTGCTGAGAACTCTGAGCAGCTTTGGCCCCTGCTGCTACGGTTACACTGGGCTGGGCGTTCTGCACATGTCACTTCTCTCCTGAATCCAGAATTCATCTGCTGGCCTCCATCTGGGATTGTGGAAACCAAGGGACCCCTGTACTCACCAGAATTGCCCAGTATAAACGCTAACGTTTGGGGCCACATTCACCATCCCTAAAACTAATGCAACTTTACCTTCGAGGTAACAATTAATTCTGAAAACTTTTTTGGATTTACACAAAATAATCTTCCTTCTGTATCGGCTCAGTCCGTCCCCCTCGATCCTTCTCTGACTTCAGCGGACTAGCGTCTCGGGCCCGAACGCGGTCATCCCGCGTTTCCCCCGCGTTGTCTAACGCTCGTTAGTAACACCCGGACTGAGCGCATCTCCCAACGCAAGCCTCTCCTGCTTTCCTTACAGCATCACAGCACCTGTTCCGGCTGGGCCCCCGCGCCCCCCGCCCCCCTGCAGCACCCCCAGCCCCTCCCCACCCCTACCTGGACTCTCTCTGTGGCACTGGGCCACAGCTGCCTGCACAGGACTTTCTTGAGAACGTCAGGAAGGAGGCTGACAGTGATGAGCAGGATGATGAGCAGCCAGGCAGGGCCGCTGGACAACATCTGGATGAACACATAGTACATTCTCTGGTAATTCAGGAACGGCCTGGAAAAACAACAGATGAGCAAGTCGGAGGTCATCCGGAGGACACCGCGCTCTCTGCTCTCAGGAAAAGCCCGCCCGTTCCCCGAGGTTTTACTTTTGTCACTGACCCTCCTGGGTGTGTGTGCGCCCGCCTACTCATGAGCAACGGGCCGCAGGATTTCCCCGTCAGGCCGGGCAGGGAGGAGTTCTACAAGTCATCCCAAAGAGACGGGATGTCCCTGGAGCTGTTTCTGGACAGCGAAAAATGATTTTAAAAGATTAAAATAGTTGATTTTTTTTTTTTTTTTTGGTATCTTGGAACCACAACCTGAGCGATGGCTGTTAACATGCACAAGACACACACGGGTTCTGATCAGCAGCGCTAGTTAACCACCCTGGGCTTATACAGTGAAAAAATGACATTTTTTCCTATGAAAATAGAGAGCACGAAGGGCCTCCCTTCCAGGCAAATCTGTAATTCAAGAAAACATCCACACTGGGCTCCAAGACGGAAGTTGGAAGGGACCAGCAGTGAACTTGGGTTAGTTCTGCCATCCGTACGCCCAAGGCGGGGAGCGGGGCGGACGGGTGTTCCGGATGGAACGTGGACGTCACAGGCCGGAGGCCACCACAAGCCCGTCCAGCTCAGCACCCGCAGGTCCCCAAGAACACGCAGCACAGGGCTCTGGCCACTAGAGGTCAGCGACGCTCTGAGAGGCGGGGCGGGCACGGCGCTGAGGGCAGAGCCCCACGCTCCAAGCTGCCCGGCACGGGCACCGTGGAGGGGACGCCGCGTCCGGCCAGCACGCCCGGGGAAGGCACGCCCAGGACCCCCTTGTCCCAGCCGCGCTCAGGAAATGCTCCTCACGCAGAGGTGTGGGCACCGTGTGTGCCGAGACGGGGGCGGGACGAGGTGGGACCAGCTGCCTGGGCGAAGGGCGACGCATCAGAGGGGTCCTGAAGGACACGTAAGAGCTCACGGGGCAGGCTGGCGGGAAAGGACAGCCGGGCAGAAGGAACAGCATGAGCCATGGTGTGCCAGGGAAGGCACCCGAGTAGGTACCACACACACAACCACGTCTCGCCCCTGCCGGACGCCACGGAGCACTGGGACCCTGCCATTTCTCCGCGGAGCGTCCTGGGTGGCCTCCCAGGAGCAGGGCTCTGTCCGCCGGCGGCAGCGGGGGGGCCCCAGGCCGGCCCCACCTGCTACGCCCGCTAGGCCTGCTCACCACCGCTGCAGCATGGAAGGCTGGCCACGCCACGCCCACAAGCACTTAGCCCGGGCCCCATCCCGGGACACATTTAGGACGCCCAGCCCACCACGACGAGGGTGATGCCCGCCCGGGCCACAGCGTAAATGACTTCTCTCGAGAAGACTCGTCTGACCTGTGATCTGACGCAGGTCCCTTGCGGCAGCGCCTGGCCTCCCTGGTCTCAGCTAGTCACCTGCCACGCAGCGTGGCTCCCCCACGGAGAACGTGGGTCCAGGGAGTGGGGACCCCTCGGCCTCACGCCCCCACGTACCAGATAATCCCTCCCCAGAGGAGGGAGAAGACGACGTAGAACAGCAGGGACCCCCAGATGACAAAGTGGTTTATCCAAGTCCAGTAGTGCGTATCGAGCGCCAACTGAAAGACAGACACAGGCCGCGGGTCAGGGCCTCGTCGGGACCTCGTCGGGGCCTCGGCCACAGCATTGCGGACCGGCAGTGGGAGAGAACGGGGAACACAGACCACCCCGCCTCCACAGCAGCCAAAACGCCCACATAAACCTGCTGAGGAAGCACAACCAGAGCTCCCAGAGGAGAGAGACAAGGCAATGTCCCCGCATCCCGGGGGGCACGCCCCGGAGTGTCTCCCGCTTGGCGAGGACCCCGCGGCCCAGCTACCCTGTCGGCTGTGTTCCCACCGTGGAGACTCGGGGCGACAGTCTGAGGAATGCAGAATTCGGCTTGACTTTCAAAAGAGCTGAATTTCCCATAATACATTCATTTGTTTTAAATACATTCATTAGCTTTTGACTGTATTGGGGCTTGTTGTTTAAAGGAATTCTCACCCGACTCCTTTTATAAAGAAAAGGCTCATTCCCTCATTCACCTTCCGCGTAATTCCAGAAGTTCATGTATTGGCCGCCCGGCACCCAGTGCACTGCGTCCCCACTTGACTTCTTAAATGACTGAACGTGACCCTGGAGGGCGGCCCGGGGCATGGGGGCTCCAGCCCGGGCACGGTTACAACGAACGGGGCGGCTGAAGAAGGAACATCAACGGCATGCGCTTACCTTTAGTGTGACCGTAAATACCATCACAGTGAACACCAGCGTCCCAAAGGTCCAGTTTCCAAAGATCTGTGGGGGGAAATCATCCAAAGAGTCTCCAGTTAATACACATCATTCCCCTCCACGCTCAAGACAAGACTGTCAGAGAACACAGCTTAGGGCTCTCTCGGACCAGCGCTCCGGACCCCAAAGACATAGGGATGGGAAGAAGCTGGCCGTCGACACCCCGGGCCCCCCGACCTCCGGGGTCCCTGCGCCACCCCCTAGGGGCCAGGCCAGCGGTTGGGGGATGGGTTCAGAGTCCTTCCTGCACTGGCCCCTCCACGTCGGCCCCCTCGACCCTCCACAAACATCAGTCCTGACGTGGCGGACGGAGAGGCGAAAATCCCCGGGAGCGGGAACGCTCGTGTGCAGGGTGCTGGCCGCCGGCCGTGTCTCTTCCACGTCGTGTTCCCTGCGGAAGAGACGCGGCCCAGCTCCCCGGCTCCGCGCCGTCTGCACGCTCAAGAACAGACTCAGGAGCACTGGCTACCTCCTCTGAACTCAACTCAGACGCCTGCCCGCCCTGGAACAAAACCAAGGACAGGAGCGAGCCGCCCAAGAGGACAGCCGTGTCCTAAACGGGCGACCCTGTGAGGGTGGGGCGTTCCCCTGGACGGTCACGGGGAGGGGGAAATGGAGGCAGACGAGACAGCTGCACAGAGGCCCTGGCAGCCCGTCTGACGGCCAGAACCACAGACGCGCCAACAGCGCCGAGGAAGATGCCCCCCGCCCCCGGCATGGTGCCGCGAAGCCAGACGTGGTGGAAACATAGGGTCAAATCACGAAAACAAGACATTTCTCAACTACAGACAAAGACACAGAAAACGAAATACCGACTTTCTCTCAGGGGGACATCAGTCCGCTGGAGATTTTATTCTCTTCAAGATTTCTCCAGAATCCCCTAAGCACGGACCCCCTTCTGGTTTCTGTGAACCGCGCCTCTCAGAAAACGTTCCTAGTACTTCTTTAAAAGCAAACAGCTCTATTTCATTAAGAATTAAGAGGATGGAATACAAGGAGCTTTCTGTACGGTTAGTTTTCAACAGAGAAAACGCCGGCGAACACAGAGGCTAGGTCTTTGCATACGTTTGGCGAGGTAGGGTTCTAGAGTTCGTGTGAGGACACAGAGCCCCACAGACCCCCACCAACATCCGGACCTCATTCCCCAGTCCATCACTGGGATCAAAACGGGGCTTCCATCCCTCGGACCCACACATGGGGGCTGGTGCCTGGAGGCGACTCTGCCCCCAGGGGACCCCCGCAAAGTCCCAGGACGGTTCTGGCTGCCACGCTGGGGAGGGGGCTGCTACCGGCACCTCGCGGGAAGGGCTGGGGTCTGCTGCCTGCACAGGGCGGCCCCACGACCAGGGACCAGAACTTCCCAGCCCCCAGAGGCCACAGCGCCCAGGAAAGAAACTCTGACCGAAAAGTGCAGTCTTGTTTCGCTTTGGGGGCAGGAAAAGTTTTTTAAGCTCTGAGACCAGGAGCAGCTTGGCGGCAGGCTACAGAAATGCTGGGCCAGCAGGGTGTCGGAAACCACGCTGCGTTTTGTTTTCACTGGAAGCTGATGCTTGCAGACAAAGGACATGGTGAGCAGGCTTGAATCCCGTGTGGGCCTGTCAGCGGGACCTGGCAGGAAGGCCTGCCCCTCCGCTTCCTGACACCTGGGGCCCGTGGTCACACCCCTGCTTGGCAGGGGACACGGAAATCTTTTTTCAGGGCCGGGTAACAGCAAGGGGCACAGCAGACGCGCGAGGTCCCACCCAGCGCATCACCAGCTGGTAGATTTGCGGAGCTGGAAATTACGGCCGGCCTGAGATTCCGTACCAAGTAGGGCTCCCGATGCATCGCGCAGTAACGCGTGGGCCTCAGCTGTAATTTCTACGGGCACGGACCAACAACACCCAACTAACTTGGCTCCAGAACTGGGAAATTTGGTTCCGAGCCCCGGCAATGAAGACACGTCTGCTCTACCTTCACCTACACCCTCGGCCGCCAGTCCTGAGTCACCAGGACAGCGGGTCGGGGGACGGCTCTGGGAGCACCCTCGAAAGTCCTCATCCATCCTCGCAGTGGGGAGCCCTCAGGCTTTTGCCACTGAAGTTTCTTGCCACTATTTCTATGGATTTTGGGGGTGGGAGGCGAAAGGGTGTCCAGAGGGTTTGCTTTCTGAATGGCATCGGTCCCAGGTGCGCTGCACCTGATTTCCTAACAGAGCACTCCCCTCAGTGCAGACTCCCAGCCCCGTGTGGGGACAGCGAACACCTGGGGAGCCTGCGAGCCTCCAGCTCCACCTCACTCGCCCTTGGTCCCCCCTCTGCCCGCCCAGGAGCATCCTGTAGGAAAGCGTTCTGCTCCTAAAGGCCCTCAAACCCAGACCAACTTCACCGTCATGTGTAAAAATATTCCACAACAAACAACACACACGGTCCAGGCTCCCTTCACGCGGACTCTGCCGTCTGTTCTCGCTGTTTGCTGACCCCCGTTACCACCTCTGGAAGGAACCTGCTGCTCCACACGAGTACGTCCATTACTGCCTCTGTGGGCTCGTTTGTGCATCACAGGGAGAAACAGCTTTGGTGTGTGTGCAGAAAATGCTCCCTAAGTGAATTTCTTTTCAAGAAGTTACGATGAGTGTTGCCTCAACACCACACGGGATCTACGCACATTCCTACAGAACGATGTAGCTCTTAAGAAAACGGGTCCTCACCTGCTGACCACGAGTGGGATGGGGCTTCTGAACCCCACGGATGCACCCTGAGCAGGAAGGGTGGGTGTCCAGGGAGGGATGGACATTACAATCAGCAAACTCCTGCTGCCCACGAACCAAGAGCTTCATCAGTCTCCGGAGACTGGCCCTCGATGCACTTGGGTTCTGGGGCTTATCTGAATTACCAGAGAACCAGGCTACAATGCTATCTTAGTTTTGTGGGCGATCGAACCCTCTTACCCGCAAAGCGAACAAGAAAGGCTCCATCTGGAGATGTGGACGCACAGGGGTGGGGGCAAGGGGGGGTGGGCTAGAGTTTGAACACCAGACGTTTAACCCTGGCCTTGCCCTGTGTGCAGTGGCCTTGGGCCCCCCCATCCTACTGGGGCTCCTGTCCTCCCAGGGATGTGGGATGGAGATGAGCGCCACTCCTGATTCGGGGATGCTGTGGTTACTCTTCATCTCGCTCTGATGAGCCCGGTCTTGGGGCTCCCCACCATCTACGGAGCACTGACTTGCAGGAGACTTGACCTCTCAGAGCGTCACTGTGGACAAACACCTCACCTCACAGACCCTGCTTGGCACCACGTGCGCCGTGCCTGGTTCGCAGTATCACCAGGCTTCTGAGCAGCTTCCTGTGTGGACAGGCCAGCAAGTAGGGCCGAGGGCGGGCCCGGGAAGCTCTCAGCCAGCGGGCAACAGGGCACCTGCCGGGCTGATCTTCGATGCAGCGGTGCGGGCCGACTCTGCTTTCTCCGTCCTGGTCTCTCTCTCTGTCCTTGCTTCAAATTCTAACAACAGCCCCGCACGCTAACAGCCCCTCAAAGGCGTGCGTGTGTGCGTGGGGTTATCAGTGTTGCGGAAAAGCCCCGGCCTAGAAGTCAGGACTCAGGCCCCGTGGAAGCTCAAGGCACCCCAAGGAAACAGGCCAGTCGGAGAGAGCAGCAGGGACCTGGCAGAAGTTCCTGCATCCGCTGGAGGCGTCCAGAGCACCACGGCACCCTGAGGAGCGGCTCGAGGCACATCAGGGCTCCGGGGATTTGAGCACAAGCTGGAGACACTGCCTGGGCCTCACGAGGGACCGCACCACACCTGCCAGCCGGCATGACCACGTCCAGGGTGCACGGGCCACCCACGTCGTCGTGCGCGTCCGTTCCCCGCTGAAACCGGGCAGGACCGGTCCTCTCACTAGGGACTCTCGAGCCCGGGGCAACGAAGGAGCAGCACGGAATAAAATGACACCATCGGCATTGCACGAAAACCCCAGTTTGAGCACCCATGTGTGTATGCTACTTCATCTGTCTGAACTCGGTGCTTTGACGTTAATGCCAAGAGTGAGCAGCACCGTGTGAGGAGGCTTCTCGTGGTGGCAACAGGCTAACTCGGTCCTGACGTCCCAGCTCCGGGGGCCCGACATCTTAGTCCTTCCTAAGACACATGCAAGACCCTCCCTCAGGGCGTCGCTGCAGGAAGTCCTGTGGGGACCCCGCAGGAGGACGGGCCTGGGGCCGGCTGGCATCCAGGAATTATCCAAGCAAATGAAGACAAAGGAGTACATTCTAGAGAAACGCCAAGCTTTCAAAAAGCAAAATGAGATATTTAAAACATTTTCAAGATCAATTCAGTAAAAGTTGATTTAAGCTACAATGAAAGAGAGCAGCACCTTAGTAACGAGGAGAAAAGAAAGTTCGCCCCGTACCAGCGAACAGTGGGCTGCCCGGCGGGCAGGGGGTCACGTCGGTGCAGCCACCAAGCCCGGGCAGCACTCCAGAGGGCACGGCCCTGAAGTGTGCCCGTGTGTCCCCCGCGTGTCCCCGAGGCCCGGGTCTGCCACACAAAGCGCGTCCCCACCGTGCCTCCCGTGCATGGGACGGCACCGTGCACGGAAGTGCAAACGTATCAATTACACCCAGCACCGCCTGGGCTGGCGAGCCCGACACAGAACTCCAGAGAAGAAACACCAAGTACGCAGGACCAAATGCACACACACTCGCCTAAGGCAGAGCTGGCCCCGCGTGGGGGCTGGTGGCAGCTAGCAGCTTTCTACCGACAAAGCACACAGAAGAAGTCACAGGTGAAAATATTTCGAGAAATATTTTATTTTTAAGGCACTCCAAAACATAAAGGACAAACCCACAGTTTTCTTACCATGTGTGTGTTGGTGGTCATTATCTGAGAGTGGGGAGGGAAGCCCGAGGCAAAAAGACAAAAGCGAGATACGAATAAAACAACCCCAGAGATTATGCAAACAAGCAGGGAGCTGCCTGGTTACTAGCAAACTCTCAATCTACTCTTTGCAAAGGTAGCAGATACTTAAGGTAAATATGGGTGGAAAAAAGCTACAGTGTGTTGAATACGAAATTAACTCCCAAAGGAACTAAACTAGGCCTGAGCGAGGGAACGAACAAAGTGGCTCGCGGTGACACAGTGCCATGAGCCTGGGACTCCCGGGAAAGGTGTGTCCGGCAGGAGGAGGGGCACCGCGGCCTCGAGGCGCTTTGGTGGACAGATGCCCCAATACCAGGCCCCACAGGCTACCCCGGCCCGCTCCCGCATGGCACTCCCAAGCAGCCCAGCCCACACGATGCGGTTCCGTACTAACCTGTCCATTGCTGGTCACTGTTGTGTTTTCAAACATGAAGTAAGCACCAAAGAAAAATACCAGAGCATCAAATACTCCTAAGAATGTCCAATAGATGAACACGCGCCAACGGAGCAGAGCGTTCTTGGCGATATCTCTGTGGAAGGCGACAGGTGAGATCACACATCAGGGACACCAGACTCTCACAGTGGCCGGGCCACCCCCACGCTCTGTTGTGACCATCTGGCCAGGAAGGCCCCCTCAGTCACGGCACCGTCCCAGGCTGCAGAGCCAGCTGGCTCCACCACGCGATGAAAGTGGGTCATGGAGAAACAGGCCCAGTACACAGGGTCGCCCTGCCCGGCAGGTCTACTCCCGTGCCTGCCTGAACCCCTCCACACCTGCCCTGGGGCTGGACACATGCTCTGATCTCACAGAGCCTTCCGGGTGGATCCCGGTGGGCTCCTCCTGATAGCTTCTAGCACTGACCGTGTCCCCGCGCCATACTCCGCCTGCCCCCTGGCCTCCTGCCAACACCCCTGCCCCTCACCCAGCACCATGCCTGGCTCCACAAAGCCCTTGGGGCAGCCAGAGCACCAGACTGCTGTACCAGAAGCAGAATCAGAGCACAGTGAACCGAGCACATGCGCGGTGGGCATGGGACCCCCGGACAATGTCCCTGTGGGATCAAATGCAAACGACATTCGGTTCTCTCCTTCCAGGTGGACACTGATGTGTCTGAGGGCAGGCTCACATCTCTGCTTGTGAACGGACCCAGGACATGAGGCCCACACCCGTCCCGCGTGACATGGGCTGTGGGCCTCAGGCTCGTGGCGCATCTCCTGCCAGTCCACGGGAGGCCAGTTGCAGGGGTCCCTCCGGACGCAGGCCTACCTCGGCGTCTCCCGTCTCCTCAGACGCGCTCCCCCCCACTGAAGGCACAGACAGCGAGCTCCACGCTTGCCTGCTTGTCGCCCACAGGGATCCCTGGGGCTCGGGGGCTTCAGATCCCACATCACGGCAGACACTCTGATGGGGCCGTGACGCTGGCAGGTGCTCTGCACCGTGTGGCCACGGGACGCCCACACACACAGACGGACACCAGTAAACCTGGGCGCCCAGAGGGATGCCGTCAACCCCCGTGCGACGTTCTGTTCGGCAGTAACCACCAGGGTCACTGGAGAAACGCTCAGAACCCGCGTACCCTTAAAACTATTCATGAATCTAAAATTACTTGATCTAAGAAGTTAAATTTAAGAAAAACCACAAAAAAGTAACACACTGAATCTGCCAGCCATCTTGGAGTACGATTCCAAATTGGCAGAAAACGCCTTTTCCTGATGATTAAAAAGTACTTTTTAGCAAAAAAAGGCACTCTGAGGTCAGATCTGCTAACTTTTCTCTTTATCTCACTGAATGGGATGTACTTGGTCTTTAAAGGATAATTTAGGCTCTAGATCCACTGGGGTCACCAGGGGGCAGAACCGCGTATTCCGGGTCCTCTCATAACTACTTAACAGGCATGCTCAGATGCAGCACCAATCCTCTCCCTCAATCTGAAGTATGTTCGCTTCAGTTACGTTGTCTCCCCGTGAAAGCCTCTCTGGGGGAAGCGAGCGCACCAGCCTGAGCGCTTCGGGCTTTTCCGCCAGGGAGCGGGCTGCAGGGTGGGGGCACCTAGTGCACCTGGGCTCCCGTCGCGGGCGGCACCTGTAGATACCTGTAGAGGGAGGGGTCTCTCCGCAGCGTGTCGATGCTGACGTGCTGTTCCATCAGGCTGTACAAAAGGATCGGGAGGGAGGTGAAGCTGATGTTGTACAGAGTCAGGTAGGCAGTGTCGTACAAAGTCTGTGGGGAGCACAAAATCAACCTGAAAACCGCACTCCTCCGTGGATCTCCACACACCGCTCTGATGCTTTCTTGAAATGTACACGTATTTCTTAATTTGCAAAGACCCAGACCCACGAGCATTTTAACGGCAGAGTCCACTTTCTGCAGCTACAGACAGTGGGACATTTCTCAGTCCTTCCTGGCGTCAACTGTCAGGTGAAAGCTGTGGCCAACACAGATGCCACCGGGACCCACCCCATTTGGCCGCTGCAGACTTGCAACAAAAACAGTTGCGGAGGGCGCCTGGGTGGCTCAGTCGTTAAGCAACTGCCTTCGGCTCAGGTCACGGTCCCAGGGTCCTGGGATCGAGCCCC